GAGAGAGAGAGAGAGAGAGAGAGAGAGAGAGAGAGAGAGAGAGAGAGAGAGCAGATATGAGAGAGAGAAGGAAAGACAGAGAAAAGAGAGAAGGAAAGAGAGAGAGAGAGAGAGAGAGAGAGAGAGAGAGAGAGAGAGAGAGAGAGCCGATATGAGAACTCATTAGAATAAAGAATGATAGATATGAGAAATTAATTATTGGATTATGAGAATATTGCAACAAATCGCATTTGAACAACAATAGAAACGATTGGAATCTTTCTTGCCGTAAAGAGGTGTTTCCTCTAGATTTCGTCACATTTATTACATCTGAATTTCCGTATAATATATATTTATATACTTACAATAATAATAATAATAATAATTATAATTATAATACGACTTCTTGGGGGAAACTTAACAATTAAAATTTGACTGTACACTTTGCTGACTATGACGAGTATTATTATTATACCGAAATTGCACGCACGAATTCAGAGGCAAATGAACACAAACGACTTATCGCTGCCACAATTATTCATCTACATGCCATACATACACTATATAGAAACGCTAACACTTACGCATTCTGTCTCGTTATCGCCTTGGTACACTGCGGTTTGAAGGGAACACAACTTTTAAAATGCTTTCTATAATATATTTAATAATAGCCACGTGCATAGAACGCGTGTTCAACAACTGTTATCAAAAGCCGTTCGAGCCGCAGCCGCATTATGATGTAAATAAGTGCAACATTGCTGTAAGCTTAGCGTCGTGCTATCGTTGCTGGACATGCCACGTGGCACAGACATCGTCATCGAACCTGCGTATAGGCTCTATCTTGCACATAAAGTGACTGCTTAACCCCTTCATCCCCTGCACCGGCTCCTGCCCCACTTCACCTCACACCCACCGGCCTGCTTCGTGTTTCACACCCACCCTCCTCTTCCTCTATGTATGCGTCGTCACACGAACACACCCCTCCCCTCCTCTTTTCCCCGCCCCGCCAACCGCCGCCGCAACAAATCATGAAACCCGCACGCTAAAAACGGGGAACACTCACGTGATGCGACGACGACGACGACGACGACGACGACGACTACGACAAAGACGACGACGTCACACACACACACACGCTGGCGCGCTCCGACGACGTCACATGTGCGACGTCATGTGTCGACTCATGTGGTGGCGCTCGCGAAACGTGTCGCCGCAGATGCCGCACTTCAGCTTCTCCTCGCGCTTCTGCTTGCCCGGGTCGCCGACGCCCTTGTGGTGCGAGCGCATGTGATAGACGAGGTCCGACGTCATGCGAAAGCTCGTGTTGCACTTGGCGCACCAGTTCTGCGCCTGGAACGTAAGCGCGGCGACGTTGGGCGGCAGCCAGGCCTGCAGCGCCCGCCGCGCCGCGAAGCTGTCCATCGGCGACGCGTACGGCTTCGCCGCGCACGGCAACCGCTGCGGAGCGTAGGGTCCGAGTCCCCACACGTCGCCGTGCACGGGCGCCGGCATGAACGGCCGGATGTCGCACGACACCGGCAGCTTGCCGATCGCGTCCGGGTTCGGCAGGAACGGCGAGCGCAGAATGGGTTCGGCGGCGCCGAATCCGGCGAGGTACGACGATGACGACACCGACGACGACGACTTGTGAGCGGCGAAGGCGCCTCCGACGAGTTTCGACGTCGCCTGCGGCAGCATGGCGCTCTGCGTCGATATGATCGGAATCGGGTCGACGACCGACGACATCGTGACGGACAGACGCGCGTACGGATACGGACTCGTCTTCTGCACCGGATAGACGATATCGGGCAGCGACGGCGATGGCACCGTCGTCTGCGGCGACGTCCTCTCGACTTGCTTGAACGCGCTGACCGAGTTTGCTCCTCCGCCACTGACGTCGTCCGTCTTTCTCGGTAGGCTGTTGTCGTTAAAGTCGGTCGGCTTGCCGTGGTGGTGCGAGGCGACCGTGATGGCGACGGACGAGGCGGAGAAGACGTCGCGCGGCTTTCCCTCTGCGTCGGCGGCGATCAGGCGCGTGCATTTTTGTCGGGAGAAGTCTATCACGGCGTCGTCGCATCTCCTCTTCCTGTTGCCGACGACGTCTATCGGAGACGACGCCGCCGACGACAACGACGACGTTTTATTCCCGTCCGATTTCACGAACTTGCGGAAACCTTTCTCTTTCTCCTTCTCCTTCTCCTTGTTCTTCTCCTTCTCCTTACCTCCTCCGACCTTCTCTGTGCGCTTGCCGATGACGGGAAAGTTGGCGAGGAACGTTCTGTCGCTCTCTCGGTCGACGTCCCTCGCCGAGTCCGAGCAGGGCTTCTCGGTCACGTGATTCTGTGCGTTTTCGGCCAGCACGCCCTCTCGCAGCTTGCTGCAGTAGAAGTAGGCGTGCGTGCGCAGTGTGTACGCGTAGCCGAACGACTGACCGCAGAACGGGCATACGAACGCCGTGCCATCTGCAACACACACAACACAATATGCGCTGTTGATTACTGTAGTGGTGATTGTGGTGGTGGTAGTGGTGGTGGTGTTGGTAGAGGTGGTGGTGGTAGTGGTGGTGGTGGTGGTGGTGGTGGTAGTAGTAGTAGCAGTAGTAGTAGTAGTAGTAGTAGTAGTAGTAGTAGTAGTAGTAGTAGTAGTAGTAGTAGTAGTAGTCGTAGTAGTAGTAGTGTAGTAGTAGTAGTAGTAGTAGTAGTAGTAGTAGTAGTAGTAGTAGTAGTAGTAGTAGTAACAGTAACAACAACAACAATAACAATAATAATAATCATAATAATAATATACATAATAATAATAATAATAGCAATAATGAGAAACAATTAAAACAAAAGATTAAAATTATTTACGATAATGACATATTACATACCAACGGAATGATTTTGCCATATATGCTAGTTCGATAATAATGATGAAGATAGTGTAATTTTTATATGTCAAACTGTAAAATACGCGCTAAATATTCCTGTTTAATTGCAGAAATAAAACGCACTCGTGAGCGTGCATCAAATTTCGCTTTAAATAATTTATATTTACGAATTCGATGCGCACACGCCTATGTGTCTATTTCACATACATTATATCTGAATGCAATTGTTCGACATAATCACTTGGGCGTTAGCAAAATGTCATCCATGATGCGTTCCATTAATCAATGCAACGACGAGGTGTTCTATAATAATGCGCTATTCACGGCATGAAACCCTAAGCTTAAAACGAACGCTAACCCCTCCCAACACAGAATTTATCCTAACACTGACATAAAATTTATGTTATAATTTAATTGGTATCACGTGAAGGACTCGACCGATAAACTCATAGTAGTCGACGAATAGAGGGGAATCAATGCACGAGTGATCGTATGCGGTGAATTATCAGTGGAAAATAACAACTGGCAATCGGCGAGCTGGCTTCGAGAACCCCGCACCCATGTTACTGCAGCTGCCCATGAGCTCTCCTTCATTCCAATTTTACATTCAATACGCGTGTAAAATTATTTATTATTTATAACATAACAAACATAAATAATAGGCAATAAATAGTATTCCATGTACCATCGTAGATCAACACGTATCAAACAAGATCATTGATAATAATTGTTTGATTGTATCAAAACGTGATAATTGCGTGCTATACATATATATATATATAGACTATAATTGTATGTGAAGTAGTACTTTCGAAAACGATCCATCGGGGGTAAATATTATGTATATATACAATAGGAAAATGGTTAAATTGTTAAATGGTCAAAAATAGCAGTATATATATATCAAATAAATAAATACAATATTTACTACCGACTACACGTCGTTCAAACTACGCAATGGGCTCTCTGGCTCGAAACGCCCGCGTGTCGCGTTTATGGGAGCACAGTGATGTCTGGTGCCCGTCTACGTGAACGTGCGACTCGTGCACGTGTCAGTGCCATAACACGACCATTTTATATTGCCAGTTCTCGCATTAGTTTTATTGTCATTCAACGGAGCGCGCGTCTGTCTGCTGCTGCGCATACCTTTAGACTGTATGATCGGCAGATCCGGCATGCCTATGAGGCGGGCCACGTCCTCGCTGTACCACACCAGCAGCTCCTCTCCCACGCCAATGTCCCTCACGGCCCTGTAGAATACAGCGCCCTCTATGAGGATGGCCTCCAAGTTCTGCTCGGCTGGTTTGCGAGCGGAGTAGACTTGCGTTGTCCATTCTCCGGTCTCTCGCGTGTCGACCTGTGTGTGTAAATTGTTTATGTAGACCATTAGTAATAGACGATTGTAGTGCCATAGACCATTTATTATTCACCAGACACCATGGACGATTATAATGCGTACATTATTACGATGTGTACATATTAGACACTATAAGAACCAAGGATTACAAAAGGTAAATTTTAGGTAAATTTACGAAAGATATGAGAAGACCATTTATTTACATTGCGGTCGTCGTACATTTATACTATAAACACTGATATATTACACTAAAACTGTATAGTAAACATATTGTATCATTGTAACCAAACCCACAGTATTTCACGCAGGTTCTATTCTAAAATATAGACATCAAATTCGTACGATCGTTACAGAATAATTTCTGTTTTGCAAAACGTTCAACTTATGACAAATAACAGCATTCATACATTACTAATATAAAACCACATTATCTTCCTTTTACCATTTTCAGTTACATTTTTTTAACTGCGAGTGAAACGCGATAAAATACCGTGTTAAAATATGATATATAATCAAAAGACGTTTTAAAACACTCTGCTCATTCACTCACGCTTGCTAAATTATTGCGAGCATGTACGCCGTGTGAATATAACTTCGCCTACCGAACAATTCGTTTCGCACGTCACAGCCATCGTTTGTTACCCGCTTGAAGCGCGGGCGATTCTGAGCGAGTCTAGCACGCGCGTTTTAGCGCGTGAATGAGTGGGAAGTGCTGGTTAATACGTAATGAAATATATCAAGAGTCGTGTAAATAGAATCTTGTCGTGAGAGCTGTTAAAGATGATGTGCTATGGGGCGCGGTGTGAGATGGATGATGTTCGCCACGTGCGGCTATAGTGAGAACCGCGTTGATGAAAATACAACACATCGTAGATAAATTATTTTTGATGAGCGCGAGGAAGCTAAAGGTTATATCGTACTTCCTTGACGAGTAAAGTGCTCTAGATTATCAGCATAATATACTGTTTTACTGGTCAATGTTTTCTATGACCAATACAGTTAATAATATTTTGCTATATAATATAATTTCTATGATTTACCTATCAGCCTGGAGTGATTGACGGGTAGACAGCCATGTGATAGGGGCGTTCTTAAAATGTTGGTTAGTTACGAAGTGCAACGAAAACGCTAATTTGGGGTACACGTGTGACAGATACGCAAGACATGTATAAACTGGTCTAGCTTGATTATCGCAGTATAGATCTATGTAACGGTGGCTTTCATATACGTATATATATATTAGAGAGAGAGAGAGAGAGAGAGCAGATATGAGAGAGAGAAGGAAAGACAGAGAAAAGAGAGAAGGAAAGAGAGAGAGAGAGAGAGAGAGAGAGAGAGAGAGAGAGAGAGAGAGAGAGCCGATATGAGAACTCATTAGAATAAAGAATGATAGATATGAGAAATTAATTATTGGATTATGAGAATATTGCAACAAATCGCATTTGAACAGCAATAGAAACGATTGGAATCTTTCTTGCCGTAAAGAGGTGTTTCCTCTAGATTTCGTCACATTTATTACATCTGAATTTCCGTATAATATATATTTATATATGTTATAATATATATATATATATATATATATATATATATATAATCTTTACGAACAAAACTGGCGAGCGAAAAATAACAACTAGATTCGCTTATAATTACGCGGTTAATGGAGTAATCGAATTAGCGCTGTGCGTTCCCCGCGTGTTGATTTTGTGTTGAATAAAATCAACAAATAGCGGCGATAGCACCTGACATGGCCATCAAAAAAACATGATATGCAAACTGATTTGTCGTCGACGCGTTTGGATTTCTCGAGGAGGTTTCTCTTGATAAGATTTCGTCGTTATATGGTTAGGCGTATAGTTTGAAAAGCTTGCAAATTCACTAGCGTTCGCGCTGTCCTGTCTATCGAAGTGATGTTAGTTAGAGTGTGCTGATTATTCAGGGAGCGAACATTACCATGTGCCGAATACAAAATCAAAAGAGGATCCATGTACACTAAAGTTGGTCATATTTCAATGAAAAACACAATTTAATATTATTATCATTTTATTATTGTATGGATCTAGACATATATATATACATAGGTAGATAGAGAGATAGATGGGTAGAATGAGAGCATGTTTAGCGAAACATAGGTGAAAAAATACACCTTACTTTAGGAGGATATATTTTGCGACCGGTGCGTATATCTTATGGTTATTCATGTGTGCATGCGTGTCGAAGATAGAGGAATGTTTGTACATATAGATGACTGGTCTAGCAGGTAGACTTTTTCTCATATCCGAATCGCGTTGTACTGCGTATATATCATCAGATTACTTATTTTCTACAAAGTAAATGCTAATCATACATATTAGTATAATTAAGCCGTAGAGCTAACATAGGCGGTGAGCCCACGTAATTGCATTTATTAACGAACCTAGAATAACTATATATATATATATATATATAGGGAGAAAGAGTGAGAAAAAGAGAGAGAGAGAGAGAGAGAGAGAGAAAAAGAGTGTGAGAGAGAGAGAGAGAGAGAGAGAGAGAGAGAGAGAGAGAGAGAGAGAGAGAGAGATATATACATACATGGTTATTTATCTACGCTTGCTGATAAAAGAATGTTGTAAATGTTTTTCAACGATCATTAAGTATAAATAGCAGTTCAAGTTCAAAGTTTCTCTATTTATTTCCACATTTATTCATCGACGATCGTCAATATATATATTGTTACTTTTAGCGTTTACACGTTGTTATAGTGATGGTGCCCGCACTCATACACCACTCCCTTATACCACCACAGCAATGGCGGCTCACCGTTACATAGACGACGTCTTTGTCGTCTGCCGTGCGTCGGCCAATCAGTGCCAAGATATCGGATTGAGTACCCGGACACACCGGTCCGAACGTTGATCCGGATCTGATGAAATTGCGTGTCTTCGCGCTCGTCGATCGAGGCGACATCGTGCGTGAGAATCTGCAACGAAACGGAGAATTGCCGTTAGGAGCTTTTCGCCATATGAGGTTTACACTTTTATTTTATGGAAAACGGTTTCAATCATATTATACGTCGCACAATCCATTTCAGCAGCGGGCGGATATCGGGCACCGAGGATCAATTCAGAAACGCATATACGCAGATTTCACGCGGTCGCTTTATTTCCCTTTTCCACCCTACGCGGATTTGCACATTCAAGCCAAACACTTTCGAAATCCCGCAATCCTTCGCAAATTCCTTGTCCAATATTGTCAAGCAGGCTGACAATATCTTGCTCCTTTCTGTGGTCATAAAGAGGCATCTCTTCTCCGACCGTCTTAGCATACAAAATAGTCTCCGCTTATTATAATTACAGATTAAATTACAGGCTGGCAGAGAGAGGCGTACGTCTTCGACGCATTTATATGCATGACTTTAATTCTGCGCCTAAATAGAATTTCAGCATTATAAAATTTCTCATTTAGCGGATAAATGGGGTTTATTATAGCCATTTTATTTTGGCAATATGTCTGACAATAGAAACAGATGATTTGACGTCGACCAAAATGAAATAATGAGATGAGAGACCACGTGATCCCATAATGACCGAGCGTCTGTATGTACGTACAGCTGCTGCCATGTCTCCTTACATGCGCATGAGCGCCCTTTCGTTTACTGCTGCAGATTATAATGCAGTATTAATACAGTATTGTTAGACTTGTATGATTGCATTACAGCTTACACGAGTAGTCACTCGAAAGATTTTAAAATCGTCTAATGCTGTCCTTTTATACATGAAATTTATTTAAAGGCAGACGTCTAGCATCGCGTCGTTTTTATTAATAAAATGCGCAAACATCTTACGCAGCGTTGTGCTAGATTCTTTCTAACTGCGCTATCACACGTTTTATGATGATGAGGATGATGATGATGATGATGATGATTTTTACCAATTCAGGCCATTGTCTCGTAGTGTATGAATATGCCTCTTGTTGTCTGTCTGTCTCGCTCTCACTCTCTCTCGCTCGCTCTCTCTCTCTCTCCCTCTCCCCCCCTCTCTCTCTCTCTCTCTCTCGCTCGCTCTCTCTCTCTCTCCCTCTCCCCCCCTCTCTCTCTCTCTCTCTCTCCCTCCCTCTCTCGCTCTCTCTCTAT